GGTGGGCGGAGGCCGAGCGGAGGTGGGCGGAGGCCGAGGCCAGAGGCGGTGGTGCAGGCCGACGAATCTCAAACGCCACACCTGAGGTAAGATGACACCTTCCAAAAGAAGCCTAACATTCGATAGGTGAGAAACCGCAACACGAGGGCCGCAACGCCCTCTTTCTCCCCCACCCCCTCCCCTTACCACACCCCTCTTAATGCCATGCGACTTCTTTTGCTTTGCGAGCGAAGCCGCAACAGGTCATCTTGTATAAAAGTTTGAAACCCGTATCGGGCTGAACCTCACTGGTACCAGCTAAAACTCAAGATCGGCTACTTAACCTGCCCTACAACATTCTGAAAGGAGTCGTGATTCTCTTTCTGAAAACAGCCCGCAGCGTTCTCCACCTTATCTGTCCTGCCCTTCCTGCCAACCGTCCCAGTCCCATCTCCCTGGATTTTTGGCGCGCCGGGACCTTCTGGGGGGCACCAGCAAGATCCCATGCCTCAACCAACTCTCCTTATCCCGCTGTCCGGTCATATTTTATGAAGACAAATTGGGCAAAACCAGAAGCAAAAGGGAGCAGGGGAGAAATCAAAAGAAGAAAACCAAGAAGAACCAATAGGCAGACCAAGAGGATTCTCAGTTTCCGCCTCACAGGCTCTCGACCAAAACCAGGGAACTCATTTTATTCTCATCTCATTTTGAAACAATGCCTATTTTTGTCTCTTGCAGTCAGTGTGTGTGTGTGTGTGTGTGTGTGTGTGTGTGTGCTTGTGTCTGTGTGTGTGTGCTTGTGTCTGTGTGTGTGTGCTTGTGTCTGTGTGTGTGTTGTCATGTTTGCTGTACACAACGCCACAAAAAAAGCATCACTGTGCCAGACTGTTTCATCGGATTTTCATGCACTTATCTGGAGGTCGAACCCGGATAATCTTTTAACAATGCATTTGACTGAGGGTGAACATGTGTGTGTGTGTGTGTGTGTGTGTGTGTGTGTGTGTGTGTGTGTGTGTTGTCATGTTCGTTGTACACAACTCCACAAAAAAAAGCATCACTGTGCCAGACTGTTTCATCGGACTTTCACGCACTTATCAGGAGGTCGAACCCGGATAATCTTTTAACAATGCATTTGACTCAGGGTGAACATGCGTGTGTGTGTGTGTGTGTGTGGTCCTTTTTTTTTTTTTTTTTTTTTTTTTTTTGAACAGGTCCTTGTGGTCCTGGCACCATATCCATCCTGGGGAGCGTCAGTCCGGTTCCTATTCCACCGGCAAGTTGGAATGAAATATTACATCACATCATGTACACCCTCACGCTTCCTTTCGTCTGGCCGAAGGATCCCTGACCAGCATTGACTTCTCCGATGCCGGAGGATTGACTGTCAGCTTGCCTCTCATCTACCTTTCCTCTCAGGTCCACTATCTGAACCTGCGAAATTTGCTTGAAGAACAAGAAAGATATTAAGAAACTAAGACGACTTGCAGTCTGAGAATTTTCCCTTGAGTACTATGTAGCCTGTGGCGGGACTTGTTGATCTGTTAGCCAACTTAGCCTGCAGGGCCATGAGTTGTGTTCGAGTCCTGTGCTCGTCATACACGTGCTTTCATGCAGTGAAGGTGCGTGGCCCAATGTTCTAAAAGCTTTTCTTCCAATTTGTTTCTGCTATGTGTGACCATTGAATCCAGTGTTTCTGCTATGTGTGTGAGACACAAGCTCCATGTGGTCAGTGGATTGGACATTGTATAGCGGACCATGCAAGTACATTTTGGCGAGGCAAACGACGTGAAGCCCTTGAAGTCCATTCATGGGCTCTCTTCATTGTCATTGCAGCCCCAGCCATTATCCTCGTCATCATATTCGTCGTCTTCGTCCTCTTCGTCGTCTTCGTCGTCTTCGTCGTTTTCGTCGTCTTCCTCGTCTTGGTCCTCTTCATCTTCATTATTTTCGTCATCGGTGGCAGCAGCTTCATCATCGAGGTCTTCTCAATCTTTATCGTCGTCGGTGGCATCCACAAGACCATCACAGCCTTTGAGCTCATCATTGGCAACAACATCAGGGCTTGCAAGCTCGTGCTCAATATTAGGGGTACCCAGCTCATGCCCTGTGGTAGTGGCAAGGGCCGCATTGTCGTCCATCTTGGAAGCACCATGCGCGATGGCATCAGGGGATCTTGCACACAGATTCAATGAAGTAGCCGGACCGCCGGGTGTGGGCACTTCCCCCCACAGTATGACAAATGGCGGTTCCTTCTCTCATTTTGGTCGTCCCCCTCCTCTGTCGTCTCTTCCCGTTAACAACCACCAGGTTTACCTTGGGATTTCAAGGGAATCGCAGGGGATTAAAAAGAGAGCCTACCGACGATCTCATGGCCGGCAACCTGGGCGTTGGTGCCCCTAGGATGCATCTCCAACTTCTGTAAGTGAGGCATGTTTTTTTTTTTTTTTTTTTCCCCAACCGTTCACAATCCCAGGGTACACACAAGCTATAGGTCCGTACAACCAAATTATTGTGCCCTATTTGCTCCCCAGAAGATCATCCTTTTTTTTTTTTTTTTTTCTTTTTTTTTTTTTTTTTTGCCGGATTCTGTCTAACGACAAATCGATGCTTGCCATGATGTATCATTGCAAAATGATTGGATGAGTGTACACCAGATTTCGCAATCAGACTGGTTGGCAGCTAAGGCTTGGCCTTTCAAAGTCCTGCAGGTCAGGGTTTTTTTTTTTTTTCCCTTTTCCTTTCTCTTCTTTGCTGTGTGTACAGTGGGCATCATCTTAGACCGCCAGTAGATCCTAGCTTCTTTTTTGCCGAGGTGGATTTCCCCTTCGTGCCAAGCTTTGCCAAAACACTCGAGCAATTTTTTTTTCTCCTTTTCTTTTGGCTGGCACTACCAGCCATTTTGGTCTGGTAGTCCCGAGCCTCCGTATGTTTGGGAATGAGCCGATTTCGAATCTCAAGTTTGCGTGGGCCATGTACTGGTGGTTTAATTGCATGTTAAGCTATCTTGGTCAGGAGCTATGCTCCTGGAAGTCAGATTGAGATCTCACCCAAAACAAAAAGGAGAAAAAAAAGAAGAAAAAAATCACCGATCAGAGGTCATCTCAAGCACACGGGCAAAGCTGAGATCAGACGCTGGCACTGCAGAAATGGCAGGGAGCAAATCTTTTTTCTTTTTTTCTTTTTTTTTTTTCTTTTTTTTTTTTAATTTGGACCATTTCTCGATTTATGCGTGTCATCCTTGAAAGCACAGGGGCCATGCTAATCTTCATTCTCTGGATCGTTCCTATTTTAACGGATGTCCCGAAGGACATCAGGGAGCAAATCTTAGATCCCACAATGCCACCAATTTTTGGGAAAAAATAAAGAAGGGAGAATATGACCTTATGGTCATCACTCATTTCCAATCATGGGGAGCATCTGTCTTGTTCCTCTATCTCCCCACAAGTCCAATCATACAAAACGTTCTGGAAGCTATTGCGTCTCGTCAGTGGAGGAATGACAGTATATTATTTGTTTCTTTTGGAAGAAGGATTGACTGCAAGCCTTAAACAGGGCATCTCCTAAGGCCTGGATACGGAGCTGATTGCTTTTCTTGTCAGTGGAGGATCATGCATCCCTTGCTTTTGTGTTTTGTGTTTCCCTATGTTTCTCAGAATCTGATTCCTGTTATTGATTTTGTGAATCAGCAGGACAGACCTCTGATAGCTCGTGTTTACTCTCTCTCTCTCTCTCTCTCTCTCTCTCTCTCTCTCTCTCTCTCTCTCTCTCACACACACACACACACACACACACACGGGGATGTGGGCAGCTGGCACTCAGTGTGGCCAGCCTTGTACATGAGAGACACAGTAAGAGGTGTAAGAACAAATAAATTGGGAGGCCTCCCAGCGATAATAATGGTGAATATGGTCAAATCTCTCTCTCTCTCTTTATATATATATATATATATATATATATATATATATATATATATATATCTGTTACACTTGTGACGATGAGGTTGGGAAGTAGGAGCCATATACGAAGACGTTGTAGGCGTATTCTGGTGTAAGTGGCACCCACTTCCCAACCGTGTTAAAATGCGCGGTTCCTTGTGTGTTTGCTGTTCATATTGCTGCACATCTCTCTCTCTCTCTCTCTCTCTCTCTCTCTCTCTCTCTCTCTCTCTCTCTCTCTCTCT